CTCTCTCTCTCTCTCTCTCTCTCTCTCTCTCTCTCTCTCTCTCTCTCTCTCTGTTGTTTGATGCTCTTTTGTGGGCGCGAAGGGAAGAGCTGCAGGCTGAGATGGTTCAACCAGTTGGATCCAAAGATCAACAGGAGGCCTTTCACCGAACAGGAAGAGGAGAAGCTGATGACGGCTCACAGATTGCATGGGAACAAGTGGGCTACGATAGCGAGGCTTTTCCCTGGTAGAACTGACAACGCAGTGAAGAACCAGTGGCACGTCATCATGGCCAGGAAGTACAGGGAGCAAGCCGTCGTTCACCGGAGGAAAAAGCTCGGCCAACACCTCCACCGGAGACTTGGGGAAGCTGCAGCAGCCCGTCATCATTTCTTTCCTTCCATTGGCTTGCATCGCGTGGCACACAGTGGGGAAGATGCAGTCTCAGGAACTCCCTTTGATTTCTTCTCCGGTACGACTGCTAGTCGTCAGCTCTGTGCACATCATTGTTCGTCTACCCTAAATCCGATACATTTACTGTTGAATACGACCAGTACTGTGCTCGAGAACACATCTCTGCTCTTTTGCTTTTGCTCCTTCATGGATCAACTCTATATAATCATGTAATGTTCTGAATGATTGCAGAAGACAAGAAGGATCAAGAGAAGAAGAGCTTCAATAGCAACAAGACTCCGATCAGCTTGGCAATCCAACGATCAAGTCATGCATCCCATGTTTCTGTCAATGGTAGGCCATTTGAAGGGAACAAAGAGAGCAGCCACCTCGATGCCGTGGTCTCACCAGCTCTCATAGATTTCCTTGGAGTGGGAGCTCCATGAGAAAGATGTCAGCACCGAGGAAACGAAACCATGGTTGAGTTAGGGGAGCAGAAGCCATTGATTCGTCTGCGTACCTTGAGCACTCAGAGCAGTGTCAAAGATCAAAACACTTGTAGCCATATCTGCTAATCGATCAAGCTCCTACTATAATTTGGTTGGAGACTCTTGCCTTCTTGCTACAAGTTCATGCTCTTCTATCTAATACATATTTGTGCATGCAACTCTCATGGAGTATATAACCTGTATTAATTTATATATGCTTTGCCTCAGAGAGAAATCTCGGTTGCATTAGGAACAAATTATATATCATCTTGATTGGCATGTATTTTTAAGCTAACATAAATTTAGGGTTCATGCATTAAGCCTGGAGACAACAAATCACTCCCTGAAAATTTACTGATGAGTAGCTTCTTATCCTTGTGAAATGGAATCCTTAGGGGAGATGCAATCCGCTAAATAGCTTTGTAGTTTCTGAAAAGAGTCTGAATTCTGGAGATCAAAGCAATGATGAGTCAAATCCACATCGAGATTATAAGCATGATGGGTGAGTTCTGGAGCTCTGAAGCAAATCCTACAGTGGATTGTGGCCTTGACATTGAGTTCAGCGAACATAATCAAGAGCATTTCTTCTACAGTGAGCCCACCTGCAGATTTTGAGATGAAGGCACTGCTGCATCTCACTAAAAGCCATTATTGGAGAGAGAGAAAGAGAGAGAGAGAGTGATTGAATCTATGACAGCCTTCATTGCCGTCATGTCTCTTCCTATCCTTGAATCTTTCTGAAGCTATCACCAAGAATACGGAGCAATAAATCGAAAGGAAGAGATGGCGCCTTTAAGGCAATAAGTCTCACAAGAAGCAAAAGAAGAAGAAGAAGAAGGAGAGCAGAACTGACCTTATTTGATGTCTTATGCTGCCTCAGCACCCGAATCCTTCTTCCACGTCCTGCACAGCCAAAACATGCAACAAAGGAAGAGCTCTGAGAGCGTGTGATCGCATCGAGAAAGGAGGAGAGGTAGCTCAACAAGATCAGCAAAGATCCCGTATCACCGCCATGGAAGAAGAGGAAAGGGAGGACCGAGACGAGCACAAGCGCGGGAAGGGGAAACCCTTTTTTCTTCGCTTTCGCAAGAGGTTCTTTGTGCTTTGCGATGCGTGCAAAATTGGATAAAACCTTTGAGATCCGCGTTACAAGATGTATGTAATGGCGTGTGTACCACCGTTACCGTTGCTGTTGCCCGGTTGACCATCGACATTGATGACGTTGACTTCCTAAATTAATAGTTTTCATAAAACTTAAGAAATAATTTATCGAATAATTAGTGAAATTCATATGAGTTATTATTTTGTAATTTGGTGATAATAAATAGTTAGTAGGGTTTAAATATGTAACATGCAACATAAAATTGTGTAGAATGGTAGCATTTGTAACATAAATTGTGTAGAACACTTCTCATGGAAAAAGAATGGTACTTACTATATAAATTATCTTTACAATATCTTTACAAAAGCATACAACCATCAGAGTCTCTCTCATATCTCAGCATTCTGCTACCACAGCCACATTTCCCTTTTATTATAGTAGTACAGAATATTGGCCTAAATAATTTCTCAAGTGTATTCAACACACACACACACACACTCTCTCTCTCTCTCTCTTTCTCAGCAACAGCCTGTTGTTAAAAGGAAATTATTAGTCACTGTAAATATCTCCAAAAACCATCGATTGACTAAAACCTGTAGTTAGCCAGCCATCAAAAGAGGACCAGTTTAGGCAAGTAGCAATGACCTGTCCAAGACAAGCCATTTCAAGGATGTCCACTTCCTGCTAGTTAGTAGAATTTACTATACCACAAGGGGCACCTCAACTCATGCTACTCCCCACAGCAGATTCCTCTTTTGGTCTCCTGAAGTTTTTGCCACAGGCATAGCATTTCATGAGGCTCCTGGTAATGGGCAAGAACGTACCCGTTCTCACAACCATCAATACAAATCCTCCCCTCATTCACATATTTAATATCTGACCCTTGTTTGTTCATCTTGTCTATCCATATGCCCATTGCAACATCCTCTAGCTTGAACATCTGCACATTAACATCTTTTCATTCAAGAAAACGAAGTACAATTTGAAGTAAAAAAAATGAATTATTGAGTTCTGTCTATGCCAAAATGGTTGACCACTCTTCAAGGCATCTCAATTCTAAGAATATCTCTTATTTTAACAATAAACATGACTACCCTTTGAGGCAGCACACAATGCTTCTACTTGTTATGTCAAAATGTGAGGGAATCACATGAAGCAGGAGAGAATTCAGTACCTTCAAATGCCCCTCTTTGTGCTGCTTGTACACTGCCTTTGCAATGTCATATGATACCACATATCCTGGACCATGAGCCCAAGGAGGGTACTTCTCATCAGGCCATTCCTTCATGAAAATTAACAAGGGATGAGAAAAAAGGGGTACACAAAGCAAGCTTAACAACTAGTTTCTGGAATACTCCCGTCAAAAACTGTTTTCTGGAAGATGCTTTAGTTAGTTTAGACATAATGTGAGACTTCAATCAAAAACAGCGACATAAGGAAGTGATGGTTCAAATCCCATATTCTTAGTGTATGATGATCAAGAATCTTCAAGGAAAAAATTCAAAAAAAGAAAAATAGTGCCATATGATAAATTGGTGATGTCAACTCAGATTCGGCATGATGGAGTAACCAAAAAGGAATCATCATCTCTCTGCCATATATGCTTGTGTGCTTCTGAAGCAAATTAAAGACATCATGCTTTGTAGTTCGAACATACACTGCTGACAGTTCAATTATCTGGAACCAGCTAAAGTCTGAAACATTGGTAAATACAGCAAATAAAATTGGTATAACTTTCTTGTTTTGATTATAAGTTGGCACAATCTCCGAAGATAGTTATATGCAGAAAAAAAAAAGTGACAATGATGTCTCCTGTAGGAATATATTTCACATCAAAAGGGTCATTTACATAAATTAGAAGTTCATCACATTTATGTCAAGGTGAGAATTTAGGTCACAAAATCCTTGTTGCTACGAGCTTATGATTGAAGAGATAGAATGGTGTCACTCTATTAATTCTTGTATTGCTGATTTCCTTTTGTGTCAGAGATCTTTTTGAAAATAAGTTGATATTTCTTTGATTTGGAATTCAAAAGAATGATCTGATAAATGGACAGTTGGGACATTATGGCTTGTTGAGAATCAGAGTTGGGACATTATGGTCTGATAAAAGGACGTAAGCACAAGAATTTTACCTTAGGCGATATGAACCATTTGCTCTCCACATTTCGGTGAGGTTCAGAATCAGAGTTGATTCTACCATATAATAGCCCTCTGGTGATATTTATTGCTGTCAGTGAAGTAAGCACCTCGTCAACACGGACAAAAGCATCATCATCTGTTTTCATTATGTACTTGGCTGATACAACATTTGTCTATCAAAACAAGTAAAAAAAATTTAGAGAAGTAAAATATTGAAAATGTTGGGTAAAAGTTAGGTCTTTGTGAATTCATGTACAAACTTACCCCAAATATGCAAATGGCTATGGTTTTCCAGGTAATTAAACTATAATAGTCAACAAATGGCATCAGTTGGATATCACCATATGTGGATGCCTCATTCCAAAGCTCCTCGTTTACCATTTGGTTTCTATGCTGTTTAAAAAACCAGAAAACATCACTTTAAGTATGCCAACAAGTTGTAGAATATACCAAGAATAGCTTTTAAGCTTGAAAGGCAAAAGAACATAAAATTGGGTAACTTTGATCGAACCCTCAGAAAAGGAACTTTCCTTCAGGAAGGTTCTTTGCAAAATCAGATTAACAAAAAAGCTCTAGGCCAGATTCAGACCACAAAAAGCTTAGACAAGTAGAAATGCAAAAGGAACTTTAATTTAATTAGCTAACTACATATTACAGAACAACTAAGCAGAATTAGTTAAATTTCAAATTGATGACCTCCTTTGAACAAGAAAGGTCTTCTTTAGTAATTTTTCAATTATATTTTTATGATTACTTGGAACTTTTTTATCTTGTAATGTAGAGCCTTATTTTAAGACTTGGTGAAGCTCAAGTATCTTTTTTTTTATTCATAAGGATGGCAAAATCCTTAACCTTGGAAGTTTGTGTTTAGAAAGTTTAGAAGTGTCTTCAGAGAAAATGTTGTGGAATGACAAATTTTACCACAAAGGATTTCATAAGGCCTCTTAATTAGCTATATATATATATATATATATATATATATATATATATATATATATGGTTTATTGTAGGTTAAAAGAACTGCTTTACATGTTAAGTCCCTTTTATGATTAAGAATAGTGTTAATAAGATAAGTAGACCTTCTCTCTTTTACTCAAAAGGACAGAGAAACCTAACTGGAAAAATCAAACCATATACTATAGTTCAACTGAAAGTTTCCAATAAACTGAGATGTTTTGAACAATGTAGCAATAATGGAGGACTTGAAATGTAATTTTCTTGTTATATCATATTTAGTAGTTCTGTTCTATGGTACTAGATCTCAAAAATGACATTGGTGTGAGAGAAATGGAAAAGGAAAATGTTATATCAGTATTAACTTGGTTATAATTTAGAAAAAGAGTGATCATTCCAAATAAGCTGGCAAAAGAAAGAAGGACATGCTCAAAGCATCTAAGTAATGCCAGGATGATTTAAAGAAATAGATCCGCCTTCCTTACCAGGCCTACAAAAAAACGCACTGCACCTGCTCCAGTCCGTACAACATCATATTGCATCCATGTTCTTCTTACTGCCATTCTGCGTTTGAAATTGTTTGCCGTTGAAAAGATGCCAATAAAGAGATCAACAGGTTGGTGGATGGGCAAAGGTTTTGATTTCAATAATTCCAAATCAATAACATGTTCGAAGTCCTCTGATGTAGGTAAGCCACTGGCAAGAACAGATATCAACTTCATGTCTCCTGAAATTCTCACTTCACTAACAAGCCATGGCTCCAAGCTCTGACCAACCCAAAAATTGTTAAAATGTTAGTCGATCGATCATTGAAGCGATAAAAAAAAGCTGAAAAAGAAATGGATTTGCTGCAGTAACAGTACTTCTCTGTATGCAAATGAACTTATATGTTTTCCATCTACAGTTACTTGGATTCCCTCGATGCCCATCCTAATAGTAGCGATGGAAAGATATCCTTGCTTGAAAGGGAAATATCTTCTTGGTTTATCACCCTCTCTTTTCAGTGGAAATGATCTAGAAATATTATGACCCTTATTAGATGCAAAGATCCCTTTGTCATCAGTACCAACTATTGCACTACACTGCTCCAAATCATCCACTGCAACAAAGAACAAAGAAACAATAAGAGGAAACATAGAATAGAATCAAGACTACCAACATATAAAATAGGCCAAGTACATGGAAGTGAACTGTGATAAAACTCAAACACAAAATTGTAGCTAGGGCTCATGAAACTAGAACATCCAAGATAAACTCATTAATAAAAACAGATTATACAAGGACCAATGATTTCAGTCCTATTGAATAGTGGCGGATTCATTATAAAATTCTCAGCACCAGGAGGACTACAATGAATATTTAGATATACTCACAGCACAGGTGTAAGTTTCAACCAGCACTAGTTGATGATTTTGATGTCCAGTAATCTTTCAAGAAAGTGCCCCATAAATAATGTATCTGGCATTGAAAGTAGTCCTGAATCCATCACTTTTTGCAATATCTGAAAGAACATAACCACTTCACTGGTGGAAGCACAAAACCACCTGGTGAATAGGTTCTAGATGCCACTCAGTATATTTTTTGTCACCACCACTCTCTTCATCCGTGTTTTCTTATTCATATCCCCATAAAACTTTAAATGTGAAAAATTATAAGAATTCAAAACTTTTACAGATTTGCGCAACCAAACATGACTTGTATGACAATTTGTGAAGAACCAAATAATCTAGTAATGACAAAATATTTCTTTATCTGTTATATTGTTGGGTCAATTAATTCTGGGAGTCCTTCAAAGTTTTCCTACTTTGGAAAACCAACAAAAGAAGATGAATGCAAATTTGAAGGTTATGGTTATCATCTTGACGTCAGATATTACTAGCAAAATGCAAATATAACCAAATAATAATGTCATTATGCTTGGAAGTTAGGCATACAAACCAAGATGAGATCTAAGAAGATTTACTGAAGTTAATAGAATGTCCACATCTTTGTAAAATGATACCTTAGTCATAAAGTAGGTGATGTGGAAATTAGGAAGATATTAAGAGGATTTACTGAAAAGAACAATAATAGTCTAAGAAGCTCGTCGTGGCTCATGTTTCTTATTTGAACCCAAAAAAGACAGCAAATAATACATCTGCTGCCTTTGCCATCTATCTCGCGTAAAATTATGAGACCACACTTGCTATCTCGAAAAAGAATGTTACAATTTTTTTGTATTAATAATAAGTATTAGAAAGACACTTTATACGGTAATCAAAAGCCCATAATCTATCCCATATCCTAACCTATTTCTACTTCTCACTTGCCGCAGACCCATAATCCATTAACTACTCTTTCCATCAGCCCCAGCACTGTCCTTGCCCTTCTTAGCCTTATTTTTTGTCCACAACTATTTATAGACACCATCAGCAGGTTGAAAAAATACAAGCCAGATATCCCTAACCTATCCCTATGTGTTACTTATCAGATATTTTGTCAATCATGTGGTACCTTCACCTGGTACCCTCACCAGAACTGTCATATCTACCCTGTTCTGGTCTGAAAAAGCCAATAATACTATGGATGTTCAATTGGTTAGAAATTCAAGATAGTCACAATGGCATAATTCACATATTAGCAATTTATGGATAATTGAAAAACAAATGTTCATTATTGTTTAGAAGTAGAGGAAACTTTCAAATAGCTTTATGGTCCCAGAAAAAGAATATGGAAAAGAAGCAAATAAAGAATAAATTTAACAATTATAGGTATAAACTCATCCATTGATCCCCAGAGAACAAGCACACAAAAACACAGTATCATAGAACCAATAGTATCATGATACTTGTAGGTATATGTGTCAGAGTCCACACTTTATAGGATATCCATAAGATCAGCACATCCAATAAATATCAATTCTAGGATCTAAAATATAGTGAAAATTTGAAAGCAAAATATAAATTCAGCATAACAGATTAAAGATATCATAGAATGATAGAAAGCTACACTGTCATGCATGTCTTAGATGTGGATAAGAGAAAGATATCATAGCAGAGAATAAAAAATAAGCCTCTAAACTGTAATGCTCGATAACTTGCAAAAAGAATTATTACCTTTCTTATTATTGTCAGTATCTGAAGAAGGACAACGCTCCTCTGCACCCCAATCATTGGCTACAGACCACGTATTTTGAACAATCACTGGATCCTCAGTTAATTTATCACCTTGAAGACGGACATTGTAGTGAAAGATGATAGGAGGATCAGGTTCACCTGGAAGAGCTGTTCCAACTAGATCAACACGGAAGTTACCAAGAAGGCCACCAGGAGTACCGATCAAAGTAACTGAAGAACCCTGAATCAATCCACAAGGAATTTTTAACTTGAATGTGTCACTGTCAAATTCCGAAACATTCATTCTCTTGATAGAATATGGGCACTGTTTCTCTTTGACTTTATGCTGTGTACTACTGTTTATTTTTTTGTCCTCGAGTGAAGCCATAAGGCTTTCCCATGCAGATACAGCTTCCCCAATAGCCTCAATAGCTTGAGGCAAACCACTGGAATGACTTATTAAGTGATCCAAATGATTCCATGTTTGCAATGACCGTTGTTCTATATCAGAGAGATTTCTTGGTGCAAAAAGCTGGGAGACAATGGTATTAGCAGAAATTACAAGTGACTCAGTTCCTGGATTTTGAATAGCAGGCGGGTCTCCAGAAGCCAACCAATCAAGGCGTTCAGACGAATTACGAGAGAAAGGACTTGGCAGTAATCTTTCAGCTAGGGGGTTCTCCAACATCCCATACCTCAAAATCAGCAAAGTGAACAAAAACACCAATATAACGCCTCCAGACCATTTCTTCATCTTTCATGAAATGTACCTTGTAACAATATTATAAAGTTACTATTCCATTGAACTCAAACCTTTAGGAAGATGATGTATATAAATATAAAATTGATTTTGTTTGCTGGTGAATGTCTAGCAATTGAAGTTCCTGCAATTAGTCAATAGGAAACACTCCATCAAGTTTGCAAAACATGCCAATAATATAGACAAACAAAATTAAAATTAGTAATTTCTCAGCACTGACACTGATTCTTATCACTTGATACAAGCAAAAACCACAGCTAGAGAGACTTCACAGAGGAATTGCTTAAGCTCATGAAGATGTTAGCAATTCAACAACCTTGGTTATTCTCAATACTTAAAACAACAAAGAAGTAACCGGATAACATTGTATGGTTGAAACAACCAATTCAAGACCAAAGTAGACAAATAAAAGCAACGTATACAGAGATAGGAAACTCCAGAAAGTGCCAAAGCAAACTCTAATCTCCAAACATAACAAGCTGTTTCTGCAACTGTGCAATAAATTAGGTTCATGAATTAGACAAGTAGTCAAGCAAACAGGATCCTCTTCGTACATTGTTAAATTAGTAAAAAAAACTATGCAGCTTTCCATTGACCATTTCAAAGCTACATCTAAGAAGCCAATTAAGGACCAAAAGGAACTTTTTTATGTTAAAATGGCGACACTAGAAGAAGTATAAATCTTAAGCACCACCCTTTTCAGGACACTTTTGAGTAGTAAAAATACTGAGACCACCAGGTAGGTCCAGTCCCAATCTTCCAGCTAGGATCTCTTGTGTGAATTTTCATCAAGGATTGCTACAGCATATATCATTTTACTTTCAGACTGAAAACAAGTCCACCACACCCAAATAAGATAATTTTTCACCCAATTGAACAGCAAATTCGTCCTTCTATCTCAAAATCATACTCATTTTCTTAAAGATTCCACAAGGAGGGGACGAAGCCCTATGAAAGAGACTCCACAGCAGACAGAAACCCACCCACCATCAACTGCCTCCACCAATATGCTTCACCAATCACACACTACGCCACCCACAAAAATAATCCAAAACAAAATCTTTATTCTCCCCCTTTCTTCTCTCTTAGCTGCATCATTACATGTAAATGAAAGAGTCAACTCTATACAAAAACAAAAAGAAATAAGAGCAAGATCAATCTCCTACAGAAAGCAGGAGATAGTTAAGCCGAGCTCATAACCTGGAACAGATCATGGGCTCGAGCGAGCGTTAAAGAGGTAGGAACAAAGACCCGTGAGTTCCAGGATCGACAGCACCCTCTGGAACCAGAGAAGCTGCCAGATCTCAAGAACCCGGAAGCACAACGCAACACTATTTCTTCGAAACATAGAATAATGCACCACCGCAGAAGTGAAAGGAAAAATGCGGGAACAAGGGGGGGAAAAGTCCTGAAGCGGCCAATCAGAAAAAGGCAAGCGGAAACACAAAAACAACAAGAATAAGGTACCGAAATGATCACAGCAAGCAAGAAGAACGGAGCCAATCACACACACAACAGCATTCCAGCTCAAATCTGGCTCAGAAAGTGATGAAAGCACAATCGAGCAAGAGGAAGAGCAGAAGAGCAGTACCCTATTGCGTTTTCGTCAAGACGGCGTCCGATCTGGGGCTGAAGACGGCCAGGACAGAGAAGGACAACAAAAATTCTCTCCTCGGTCACGTCTTCCACGCCGAAACATCGAGCGATCAGCACGGCGTCCCGGCAACTGATGAACGCATCTGAGAGAGGAGAGTCCAACCGAACGCTATTTGGTCTTCCCCAACCGAACGCTTAGACTTTTGAGACGCGACCGAAATGTGTCTCCGGTGAGCGTAAGTCTCCGTTCCACGCGGTCCCGCGGGATTGGAATGTGAAAACTTAAGCATTTAGGGAGGAGGTAAGCTCACCGTTGCTGTCCTACTGATGTAGAGACATCAATTCGATGTGAAGATGAGGGAGAAGTCACCACGAAGGTTTGAAGAGTCTGTGAACAACTTTCCCACCCCGCCTTTAATCACCCGCCGGACCACCCTCTTGTTTATTTGGAGACAGTCGGAAACTTTGACGTGGGGTCCACATCCAGCTATGCTGGGGGCTGGTAAGAAAAGCGGGAACTCCAACGGAGCGTCGGCGAAAAAGAGCGCCGGGTTTAACCCGATTGTTCCATTCCAAAGTCACTTATAGTACAAACAACACTCTCTGCTGTCTCTGTCAGTCTTCATGTGGGCTTCACTTTTCACCCAGTAACAACACGGGTAGATGTTCGGGTACGGTTTATCCTGTACTCTGACACGACTGTGCCGCTTTTGCTTTTCCTTTGTCTCGGAACCGACACGAGTTGCGACAAGACTCTCGAGGCGGGACGGGAGGACCAGTTACGGTACGATTTCTTCGCGATATAAAATTCCAGATATAACCCCCCCTCATCTTAATCAGTCACCTAACACGTGGCGCTGCGTTAATCTTAATACAACGAATGATGCATAAGTTATCACCGTGATGTCCAATACACGTGGAATCGCACAGTGTATGACAAATCGTGGTCTCTTCCACCGTCATGAGGGCTTGTAGTCAAAGATTCCAAGTGGTTCACTTGTCACCCAGTAAAGTTTAGGTGCACCGAACGGCATATGGGAAGTCTATTACTCAAGCATGAGGGTAGTATGAATAGTTCAACCTTTGTTTTGGTTTGAAGACTTGTCTTAAATTGGGTGGAACATTTGATTTGTGTTAGTTCTCCATGATATCGACATGTTGTGTTATTGCTTTGCATCACACAATTAAACCCATTATATACTAAATGAAATCATGGAAGTTCTGAATCACACACAATTGTAAGCTCAACATGAGTTGAGTTAATAGGGGATTAAATGAATTTTGCTTGTGGTTAAGATGACTAATCAGGATCAGAACTTGATATGATATATATTAATCATCAACTGAAGCTGGAGACAGATTCCAGTCGATTAGATCCCATCAGAGTAGACTAATGACATATTTGTTGCTTCAATACCAATATTCTATCAGATCAAAACTCTTGTTTTAAAGTCACTTAATTCAGGAGATTTACATCGAAAGATGAATCATCTTTGAGTTAGACGATCAAAAATAATTTCTCTTCGAATTACTTGTTAAGTCGAATAAATCTCAACGCATCGGATTGACAATCAAGATAAACATCAGTATACTTGTCTCAATCTCAGCATTGTAAGTGCAAATTGATTTAAATCCCGTTGCTTACATCAAACAAAAGATATCATAAATTGCTGGTTTATTTTTTAGTTTTAGTGATCGTATGCTGTGAATTATATTATATTTGAAATTCCACTTTGGTTAAACCTTTTTAGTATTTTGATCTATAAATTTAAAAATTTATATTAAAAAAATTTATAATGATGAAAGTAAAATATTTAATTTTATTTATCCTGACGCTATCGGGTTTATCAATGGAAGATCTAGCACATGCATGAATAGCACAAAAACGATAGATAAAAAATAATTTTAATGATGATGGCAAATGACGGTGCTATGGGTAGTTGTTATGGTGGTGGTTGGCAACAACAATAATATAGTCAATATTATCAATATCGATCCAAATATCAACGACAATGATAAAGAGGAGATAGAGCGATGAGGCATCTACGTTGGCACCAAAGGAGGAAGGTAAGACATTTGCATTGCCACCACACTGCTTTGTCTTCTCTTTCTCCTCCGATGTCGCTCTTCATCTACGTTGGCACTGGAGAATGAAGAGAAGGCAAGTGGTGGCATTTGTGTCTGTGTCGCTCTCAATCATCAGATGGTCGCTTCGTCTAGTGGCACGACATATTCGAGGAAAGGGCAATGGGTGGCGAAGAGGGAGAGATTGTGAGCGAGCTTTGCAAAAAGACATGTCTACTTTGAGCTCTTGATCTTTAGGATTATGGTCATCGACCTACTTCTAGATCAACTCCACTCATGATTGTAGGAGATTCGATCAAACGATAAGGATTAATCTCACACAAAATGGAGGCCTAAAGAGTACAGATCTGATGGTGGAAGAGATAACACACCCCCATCCTCCTTCTCATTCATCGGATCCATTGCCATCATCTTTCTGATGCTCTCCCCCACCACCACGGTATCAAAGGTGAGCGAAAAGGAGAATGAGAATTTGTTCTCTCTCTCACCGTTGGATCTGTAATCTTTGAACTTCCATTTTATGTGGCAATTAGTTCTCATCGTTGAATCGGATCCCCTCCAATTACGAGTGGAGATAATTCAGAAGTAAGTTGGCAATCAAACTCTTGTGGTCAGGCGTATACATCATTCATGGGCTGGCTAAAGCTCGAGAGCTCGAAGAAGGCGCATCTCTTTGCCAAGCTCACTTGTAACCTCTCTCTCCTCGTCACCCACCACCCCTTCCTCAAATCCATCATGCTATTGGACGAAGTGACTATTCGAGGATTTAAGTATGGTGTCTATGCAAATGTCTCGCCTATCTCCTCTTCCTCCTTCGTGCCAAAGGAGGAAGAGGAGATAGAGCGATGCAGTACCGATGTAGATGCCTCATATTCTTTCTCTTCATTTTTCGATGGTAACATAGATACCTCACCGCTCTATCCTTCTCTTTCTTCTCATTATTGATGTTCAAATCGATATTAGCAAGGCCAATCATCGCATCGTTGTCGCCGATCACTACCTCAACAGCTATCCATGGTACCATCATTCGTCACCATCTTTAAAATTATTTTTTCGTACATCGTTTTCATACCATTCATGTACATGTTATCACATGCTATATTTTTCATTAGTAAAGCTGACGATATTATGATAAATGAGGTTAAGTATTTTTTAATAATTATAAATATTTAATATAAAATTTTTAAATCTAAAGATCGAAATAGTAAATATGTTTAACCATAAGGGCTAATATATAATTAGCCCCTATTTCTCGCAAACAAATATTAAGGTTTCAAATGACGTACCAGTGGGGATGGTCGAACCTGCGTGGGTCGAATTTGCGATCAGCGTTTCCTGTATGATTGCTGACAGGATTCAGCAATCAATTGATAGAGCGCTGAAGAGGGCTCGTTCTACTGGTGGTCGTAGTGGGGTCCGGTTGTTTTACCGGTGAGGATCGTCGAACCAGGCGATCAGAATCTCCTGTATGGTTACAGTCGGGATTCAGCAATAAATGCGCAGAAATGGGGCCCTGCTCGTTCTCTATTGGGGCGTCGTAGTGGGGCTCGGATTGTTTTACTGGTGGGGATCGTCGAAGCTGACTTGAGTTGATCAGGCGATCAGCAACGGACTCGCTCGACCAACGTCACTTTTGAGTTCTCCGTTCGTTCGTTCGTTCAGAGGAGAGGAGGCCTACTATAAATATGAGAGAGAGCCATTTCGCCTCGCGATCTCCGTCGGGCGCCGCTCGTTGGTCACTGGAAAGTTGGCTTCGGTGAGAAGGTCATATTTCTTCTTCATCATCTTCTTCTTCTACATCTCTTGTGTCTCGCATTTGGTGTGTCTGATCCGATTTGGTTTCCTTGGGCTTCTTACTATTGTCGATCTGATCTTGGCCAAACGGATTGGGTACGGATGTACCTTTGTAGCGTGATCGAGATCTCCCGATTTAGTTCGTGCGATCTGAGATCTGGACTACGACGATTTAGGTCCTTTTGTTACCTCGATTGCTTTGATTTGGTAGATAACGGTGTGATCTCTAGTTTCAACGTGGCTCATCCGAGATCTAAATTAGTGTTGAATGGGAAGACGTAAGTTCTAATAGCTTCTCCTTCAATTTTCTTGAGTGAATTTAGATTCTTGGTCCTCCCTCGACATGGGATCTTTGAGAGAACAAAGGTCATCCGCACAGATCATCTAATTCTTCGTTCTATTTATCGTTCATTCTCCTTTTGAATCTTTTTTCGCAGAAGTTTTGGCTGTTAGCGAGGTTTGTACTTTTGTACCTGTTGATTTCATTGCGTTTCTTGAATCCGGCCCGGTAGGTGGATGGTAGGGCCTCAGGTAGATTTTTCATGGTTGTCTTTTTCCTTTTTTATTAATTCTTTTTGAATTTTGATCTACGGGTCCATTTCTTTTTTAAAATAAGCTTTGTTTGATGCCTCTTCTACCATGTTCTACTGATTTCGATAACCTTTTCTTCCTTTTCAATCGTTTCACGCGGCCAGAAGGGGTTGAGCCTGATGGAACCTTTGGGCACTTTCTGTTTGCGTTTTTGCCTTATAGGCACCAAAAGATATTTGCTACCAAACAAGAAAGTAGAGGGCCCATTTAGCCTTTCTTCTGCTTTTGGTGTTGCTAAAAGGAAACAGGAACATCACCACGGAGCACATGTGATTGGGGTTTTGGCTGGAAGAATTAGGGTGGATCAACAGTGGCCTGGGTATAACAAGGGCCATTTAACCATCGTGGACTTGAAGAATTCGAAAGAAGTTTGTAGATCTCTTCCAAGTACACAAAATTTTGTTTCCAGAATCCTTCACAAAAAAACAAAAACTAGAAATGAATGAATCAGACACTTTCTTGCATCCATTTTTCACATATTATGTAAAAAGCAAGAAGAAAAAGAAATGAAAGTAAGCTATTCAGGCAGTAATTTGGTTCTGCAGATCCATCCCAGGTACCAATCATCCAGCTACTTAGATGGTGGTAATTGTGCAAATTAATGGTTGAAATGTATCTCATGTAATCAACTTGAGCAACCTCTGGTCCTAGTGTAGCTTGTCCTCATAGTAAATCTCACTTACGATAACTCATGCATAGTTCTGCACGTCTTTTTCCTTATTTTTCTGACTGTTGTT